GAAGCACCTGGAGGAAGCTCGCCGCCTCTAGTGTGTCCTGAAGGGTGCCGAGGCTCAGGCTCAGACGAGATGTGTAGATGAACTCGATGATGTTCTTCAGGCCAGTCGTGCTCACGCCATGGAGCTTAATCTCCTTCAGCTCCTGCTCTCTCATGCCTCCTGACACACCAAAAGAGAGAGGGAATTGATTTGATCAGTGTGAAGTAGAGTGCAAAGCGAAAACGCTTTTCCTTGGTAACCGAATTATAAACTACAATGCAGGAAAAATAAATAGACACGTTTGGACAAAATACTACAAATATTAACATTTTGGTGGATACTTGATAAGTTACAAATACACAGTGGATTCTGTGAATGTCAGTTTATGGCTTTTCACTGTAAATCATACGATGATTTGTTCTGTTTTTACTTCCCAAAAATGGTACATTTAGCAATATTTTACTGTCAATTACAGTTTAGATATATTACAGTTTTTTTTCCCATGTATGCATGGTTACTGTTAACCAATTCACATTTTTAGTGTTTTTACAGTGTAATAATTATTTTGATGTTATGGCTGATCACCAATATACTATTTTTGTCTATATACTGTAAAAAAATATATGATCAATAAGTGATGACAACATATGTTTTTACATTGCTTTAACTCATCAAAATAAGTTAAGCAATTTTCAACTTTTTTTATAAGTTAAACAAGATTCAACTTATTTTTACATACGTTTAGTGTAATTTAAAGGAGTAGTTCACTTTAAAATTAAAATTAGCCCATGATTTACTCTAACCTGACTCCGCCAGATGGATTTGCTCCGCATATCCATCTGGAAACCTCCCGTTGAAGTAGTTTTGGTAAGGGACGAAAATACTGGTTAGCTGATTGGCCTATGTTGGTGATAGACGGGCCAAATCAACCAATCAGATCAACGAAGTATATGACGTACTAACAGAGCGTATCTTTTCCTCTGAGAAAAGCCTCCAGAGCAGTGTTTTGCTCTTCTTTCAGTGAAGAAATGTAATTCCGATAAAACTTGCTCGATAGCCACGCTGATGCTAGTTTCATCCGCTGAAGCCGACATGTTCTTTAGACTGAACTGACGCGCTTCTCGTTGCGTCACACCTCAACCCGCCTCAAAGCCAACGCTGATTGGACGTTCGTTTGGTGAACTGCTCCCAAATTTTCTTTAACGGAAAGTATCCAGACTGATCTGCGAGTGAAACCTTGAAAGCTCGCGAGATCAGGATGGTCTCACGAGGCTAGATTTACTCACCCTCAAGCCATCCTAGGTGTATATGACTTTCTTCTTTCAGACGAATACAATTGTAGTTATATTAATAAACACCCTGACGCTTCCGGGCTTTATAATGGCAGTGGATTGCAACCATCAGATTGAAGCTCAAAAAAGTGCATCCATCCATTATAAAAGAACTCCACACGGCTCCGGGGGGTTGATAAAGACCTTCTGAAGCAAAGCCATGAGTTTGTGTAAGAAAAATATCCATATTTAAAACTTTATAAAGTAAATAACTATAGCTTCTGGCCAAACGAACATACGGATTTGATTACTCAAGTGTAAAGCGCAACTTATGCGAGTAATGCGACGTACTGCTGATATTTACGCTATGCCATGACATACTACGCTACTTCATAAGTTGGGTAAGTTGCGCTTTATATGCAAGTAGACTGTGTATGGCCCTTTGCCCGGAAGCTAGAGTTTTACTTTGTAGCGTATTAAATATGAATAAATTCATATGAAATTTTTTTCTTTCTTATTTTTTTCATTATTTTATAATGGATGGATTGGATGCACTTTTTTGAGCTTCGATCTGATGGTTGCAATCCACTGCCATTATAAAGCTCGGAAGCATCAGGGTGTTTATTAATATAACTCCGACTGTATTCGTCTGAAAGAAAGTCAAATACAGCTAGGGTGTAAATCATGGGCTAATTTTCATTTTAAAGTGAACTACTCCGTCGAAATTACTTAAACATCCAAGTTGATTGTACTTAAAAATTTAAAGACAGCAATTTTTATTTACAGTGTAAATAAATAAAAAGTGAAAATGATTAATTTATGCATCACAATGTTATAATGTACAGCATGAGGAGGGAGTATACATATATTTACTAAAAATGTAATTTAACAGTGTTTAAAATTATTAGTGTTTTTAAAGATTATTTTTAAGTGAGTGATAGATGACGGCAAAGGTAATGTAAATCTAAACATAGGGGAAATGAGCATGACCAAGGAACTATCCAATATCAATCAGTATCGATAAATTAAATAAAACACCTTGACTGATAACCAATATGGTACCAATATATAGTGGATCTCTATTTTTTGGGGGAGGGAAAAATAGAGCCAGATTTAGCCAGAATCATACAAACTGATAAACAGCAGTTATATTAAACAACATATAAAAACAAAACAACAACTGTAATAAGCTTTGCTAAGAGAATATTCTCCTCATGTTTGGCGAGACTCACCCGTGAACATGGCTTTGAAGTAGTCACTGGCTGAAGCCATGATGACCCTGTGAACTGGGAAAGTTTCACTGCTGTCACCAGGTACCAGTCTCACATCGCAAAGTGTCTCATCACCACGAAAATGATCCAACCCCTGCGACACGGCAAAATCTGCCATTAATATATACTTTTTGCAGTGAAATACACCAGTCTTTGTAAGTACACTGTATTCCTCTGTTTAAGGAAGTCAACTACCCCAGTAACAGCCTGTTTTCATAGATGTCCTTTGTCTTACCTTGAGTATGGCAGTGCCATGCTCCGTGCTGTTGAACACTTGTATTTGTGGCCTCGGAGGGGCACTGGGCTTTTGAGACACTGGTTTTGATGGGATTACAACTGGTTTTGGTGCAGGTTCTGGGGGTTTTGGAGTGGTCTCAGGTGGTCTTGGAGGAACCACCGCTGGGGGCTTGTCTGTTTGAGGAGGGGGTCGTGGCGGCTCCCTCTGCGATCTGCTTCCTATTCGTGAAAGTCTGCGATGCAGTTTTCCTTCCTCCCCACTGTTTCTGAAATAAAATCATTTTTAAAACTTCTACAGTCAGAGGGCTCGCAAAGGTGTGAGAGGTCCTATATGCGATTGTTAGATCACATGAAAGACCCACATTCCTCATTTCATCTTATTGTATATTATTTTATAATAATAATTAAAATAAAATTTAGTTGACCATTTTTATTCAATTCATACAGTTCACTAACCAACTGCATTGTTTTATGTACTTTATTTGAACCCTTTTCTGATTTCTGTATCCTGGGAGGCGCGGCCTCAACAAGAAAACGTGTTTTTTAAAAACAAAAAAACAAACAAAAAACTAAACTAAACTTAAAATCTATTTTAAGGGATACAATACAACAACGAAGAAATGATGTATGAAAGTACAAAGTTAATAAATATAACATGAATCCACCTGTCCTTTAATGAAAGGCCCATGATGCAATATCTTGAGGCAATCAGAACTTACCCCATGTTTTTTGTGTCTGCTTATTTGCTGTCCACAAAGGATTTCTGGTAGAAAAATGAGAACAAATGTGTCTAAGTTTCAACAGCAAGTTCAGAAAGCAGAAAGGGGAAGTTAGCGCTGCCATCTATGTGCAACGAACACAAAAAAGATGCCGATTAGACAGACACGGCCTCATCTCTATATGTGTGTGTGGAATGAGGGAGTTTCTTTAGTTAAGATCACAAAGATAATAGGCAGATAAACTTAAGCTAAATACTTACTTCTAAGTAACAGTACTACTCTTACCCATCCTCTTCAAAGCACTGACACACAAATGTAAAGTTCATAAGAGGGGGGAAATTCAGGAAAGATGGACTACATGAAATGAAAGGAGCTTACCAAGACGTGGTGCTTTCTCTGGGGGTTTCAAACGTGTCTTCTCATTATAACACAAAACATCATGCTGTGATCACATTCAGTCGACACAACTGGGTATGTAGAGTCTGTTTACCACAACCTCATTGACTTCCTGTGTCACTTCTCTCTCTCTTTTTAACACACACACCCTTACATGTTATTTCAAAACGTTCTCTCTTCCTCCTTTTGACATGTTACTTATTATAGGCTTCAGTTCATGCCTTAGCTCTTCCTTCGGCTGCATCTGCACTGTGATGTTGTGTTTGATACTCATGAGTTGAACCCATAGCTGGTGTTAAAAGAGGAAGCCCGATAGAAGATTTGCATTTCTTTTATGTGCTGCTTTAGCAGTTTGTTTACTGTATAGTGACTGTAAAAATGCCAAACAAAAAAGCTTCATGTTAAAGACCCAAGAGAAGAACCAATTACCAATTAAACTACAGAAAAATGCATGGTGGCCCTTTAAAAGCTGTACAGCCATTGAATTAGTTTTTTTCAGAGTGAAAAATCTAGTTTACCTCATACAAAAAGTATAGGAAGACAGCAGAAAGAGTATAGTATTTATTGTCAGATAAATATTATTACTGAAGAAATCGAATCAACAAACACCATTATTACTTTCGAGAATCTCATATTGTTTAGTTTTACCACACTGGATATTTGAACCAAATAGTAACTTAATGTTCAATATCCATTCAATACTGATCATAGTCTCACTTTGTTACAAAATCAGAAACTTTTCCCATTGCACATTAGTTTGTTGCCAGCTACAGAAGACATCTTGAAAACCACAATCATAAAGACACCTTTGTTATCTTTGTGCATTACTGACTTAGTCAAGTGAATCGCTCTCTTCCATAGTCAAATACATACAGTGGAGCACGTAGAGTCCAAAAAAAGCTCATTTACCAGACTATTATCCTCTATAGAGCTGCTTTATAGTTGAAATAAACGTTGTAATTATAACTGAAAAAATTAAATCCTGATACAGATGATGTTTTGTCTTCTGTATTCGAAAAAGTGCTATATAAATAAATGAGACTTTTACTTAATTACTGAGTGGAGATTCATCAGGTACTAAAATAATTCACTCTCAGTCAAAATAGTGTGGAATTTATGTAGTGCAGTTCATAATAAACAAAAACTGTATTAAAACAATGCAGACACAGTGAACATTTGCTTTAATGTCATTCTTGTGACTTAAAGCAACAATAGTTTCCTGAATACATTTAGTATTAATAGTGGATAAAGTGGACCTTTGCAGTGCTCTGCTCTCTGTGCTAAAGTAGAAATTACTAGAGTCCCTTTTGCTGTTCAAAGTCTGGAGAACTGAATGAGGTTCCTGTTGATCTCAGCAACATTTCTGCAACCTAGAAGAATAAGAGGCGATTTGAGGTGAAGAGAAATGTCAGACAGCAAAACGTGACCCATTTTTTGTTATGAGACATGCGGCACATTGCATTTTACACAGTAGACTGACCTGACAGCGCCATGGATAAACGAAGCTCATCCTGTAGTATCTGCAAGATCTCTCTCAATCCTTCCTCACCCTGTTCAAAACATACCTTATATGAACATCTTATCTGCACCAATTACACACAAGTATCCCACAATTTGTTAAAGGTAACTTTAGAACAGGCTTAAAGGATTAGTTCACTTTAAAAAAAACTTTTGCTGATAATTTACTCACCCCCATGTCATCCAAGATGTCCATGTCTTTCTTTCTTCAGTCGAAAAGAAATTAAGGTTTTTGATGAAAACATTCCAGGATTTTTCTCCATATAATGCACTTTGCTGGGCACCAAACGGTTCAAGGTCCAAAAGACAGTTTCAGTGCAAACTGCAAACTGTTCAAAGGGCTTTAAACGATTCCAGACGATGAATAAGGGTCTTATCAAGCGAAACGATCGCTCATTTCAAAAATAAATAAAGTTTAAGTTTAATAATGTCAAATGCTCGCCTTTCTCTGTTCTGTGATGCACGTTCGTGACTCTCCTGTTCGAACTCGTTCATCAAAATGAACAAATCTTTTTTCGAGTCATTTGGTTCATTTAACGAACGAATTGACTCGGAAAAAGATTCGTTCATTTTGATGAACGAGTTCGAACAGGAGAGTCACACAGAACAGAGCAAGGCGAGGATTTGAGCTTATAAAACTTAAACTTTGTTATTTCTTTTTTAAATGAGCGATCGTTTCGCTTGATAAGACCCTTATTCATCGTCTGGTGTCGTTTAAAGCCCTTTGAACAGTTTGCAGTTTGCACTGAAACTGTCTTTTGGAGCTTGAACCGTTTGGTGCCCAGCAAAGTGCATTATATGGAGAAAAATCCTGGAATTTTTTAATCAAAAACCTTAATTTCTTTTCGACTGAAGAAAGAAAGACATGGACATCTTGGATGACATGGGGGTGAGTAAATTATCAGCAAAAGTTTTTTTTAAAGTGAACTAATCCTTTAAGCCGACTGGTGCAAATTTTCAAGCATCAGAAACACTAAAAAAAACACTGATTTCCACACAGTTACCTTGTAAGCGAGACCCCAGATTGCTGGTCTGCCAATAAACACACATTTGGCTCCCAAGGCTATGGCCTTCAGCACGTCATTGCCAGTGCGGATCCCTCCATCCATGTAGACCTCGACCCGGCCCTGCACTGTATCCACAATCTCAGGCAGACAATCTATCTATGTGACATGTAAGGTCAAGATGTAAGCGTCTGTATGATGGGAATCATATTTAAACTACAGACACATTGATAGAGTCCCTTACTGTTGCGGGACCTCCATCCAGTTGTCGGCCCCCATGATTAGACACAATTATTCCCTGGACGCCATGCTCTACAGCCAGCTCTGCATCCTCTTTAGTAAGGATGCCCTTGATGATTATAGGCAGCCGTGTTATAGACTGGAGCCAGCCCACATCCTTCCAGCTGATCGACGGGTCCAGGGTATTAGCTGGGGTCCCGTACTTCTCCTGGGATTCTGCCTGGTCCTGTACAGAGATCCAGAGGGATTCATACAAACAGACAGTGCATACAGTAACAAGACATGCTCAAACACACAGTGTTCATACAGGGAGCGCACATTTGAATCCAGCTCGCAATATTTCCCATTACTTCTCCCCATTATTTCACTGCCTTCCTCTACAGCAAGGAAGAACCCTTGCTCTACTGTATTATAAATGAGAAAAGTCCAAAAATTAAACAATAAATAAACAAACAAATAAATTAGTGCTGTCCACGTTAACATGCGATACATTTTTTCCAATTTAACGTGTTAAAAATATTTAGTATAAAATATTTATCAGCGCAGTATCGTGTGCAAAAACAGTGCGCAAGAATAGAGTTCTCTTTCGCGCTTGAACGAACAATAACATGCACAATTATGCCAAAATGCCCATTTTGTCGAGTGTCCTCATAAGAGTATATGAGTGAAATAAAGTCTTAAATGAACGTAAAGAGTTGTGAGAAAATGTGTGCCACGCATTACGTCATCACGTTGGAAAGGTCACGCGTGACATCGTTAAACATCCGGGATATGCACACGTAAGGACCATTTTAACAATAAACTTACACAAATACATATATGTGTCATTCAACATACAACATACAACTTTGAATGGTCCTCCTACTCCAAACTTGTAAACACTGGGTCGTTACTTCCGACTACGTCATGCGTGACCTTTCCAACGCAATGACGTAATGTGTGGCGCATCTCAGAGATAGTACAAGACGGGCATTTGTGGTTAAAAAGTATATAATTCTTTTTTTTTTTTTTTGAAAATGACTGATCGTTTCACTAGATAAGACCCTTATTTCTCGACTGGGATCGTGTCGAGCCTTTGAAGCTGCATTGAGACTGACATTTGGACCTTCAAACCGTTGGTTGCCATTGAAGTCCATTATATGGAGAAAAATCCTGGAATGTTTTCATCAAAAACCTTAATTTCTTTTCAACTGAAGAAAGAAAGACATCTTGGATGACATGGGGGTGAGTAAATTATCAGGAAATTTTTATTTGAAAGTGAACTACTCCTTTAAACAGGACAGCAGCCACTAATGCTGTCTGTCATTAATGTTAATCAGTGAACAAATGGAACAGAGAAAATGAATAACTGCTATTGACTAAAGAACTTTTGTAGCTTGAATAAAGATTAATCTATATTTAATTTATAATACTTTAAGTGCAGACTGTTTGTATATTTCCTAACTGTTAGACAGGTAGGAAGGGCACAGGTAAATATGACATTTATTATGGAAAAAAGATAGCTTTCAATTACACTGTAATGTTGAATGGCTATAATTAATGTATATATATATATATAAAATAAATCAATTTCATCGAGAGATCATTAGCTGTATTAGTATTTGTGATACTGGCCTTCCTTCAAAAAAAAGATGCCATTAAACAAATATTTAAAATATACGGTCTTTATGTTGATTCTACATTAATTTGGAGATTAACTGTGAAATTATTAAATTATAAAATGTACAAAAACGTAAGTGTTTTTAATCGTTAATCAAAAAACAATTGTGAGTTAGGGTTCTAGTTAATTTTTTGAATCGTTTGACAGCACTAAAATAAATAATTAGTTCCCCTACCTGAAACATCCCATCAAAGTTCTTGACCTTCAGGTGAGGTGGGAGCTTAAACTGGTTGCGTATGTCATTGCGGCGTTTGCCGGTGTAGGGCACGTCCACTGTAAACACCAGAGCTTTGTAGCCAAGTGCCTCCACTCTGTGTATAATCTGCTCCGAGAGCTTACGGTCCCGGTACAAGTACAGCTGGAACCAACGATACCCGTCAGGTGCTGCTTCTGCGATCTCCTCCACTGAACATGTGGAGTATGTGCTGGTTATGTAACAGGTGTTCACTGCTTCAGTGGCTGGGAATTGAAAGAAGACCAGAACGGAGAGATAAGATGGAAAAGAGTAAAGCTATAGCTTCAGATTTAGTGTCCATCTTGGCCAAAATGTTGCATAACACAGGAATTAGTGCAACTAAATCACTTCATCACACTCAGTCCTCCTCTCACCTCTAGCAGTGGCTAGTTCTCCCTCATGCCATGCAAGGCAGTGGAAGGCTGTGGGAGCAATTCCCACAGGAAAGCTTATTTCCGTTCCCAGCACAGTGGTCTGAGTGTCATTGATCGACACATCCCGTAAGATCCGTGGCCTGAGGCGGATCCTGAAAGAGATGATATTTTCATATTGTATGAGATTAGTTACAAGTTTGGAGCATAGAGTTGCCTAATAGAGTATATGTGGATTTAAAAGCAGAATGGTACCGTTTATAAGCCTGCAGGTTGTCATCTCTGGTTGTACATTCATCAGCTCCGGCTTCATAATAGTCCCATGCTAACTTTGAGAGGTGCTGCTTGGCATATTTCTCAAAATCATTCAAACAGACCATAGTCATTTCTGCACAAACGCCTTCCTCGCTTAAAAAAAAAAAAAACACACACATCGTCATGACATCATCAGTATGTACACAACTGATATAATTTCAGCATTAATATCACATTATCACTGATGCAGAGTTTACATCAATATTATATTCCCATTTAGATTATTTACCTTTCCAAGGTCAATGAATAGATATATCAACAAAATGAGTTTCATATTTTTCACGTGATACTTTTCCAAGGCCAATTTTACACTAGTAAATGATTTAAACACATTTAAAACTTCGCTACATAAAAATGTAGACATGGTATATTAGTACTCAAAACCACTGAACAAATGACCTGCATTCAAACAAATAATCAGATCTAAAGGTTTATGCATCTTATTTGTCAATTTCAGGTTGAATATTACAGTTAAATAGTATCATATGCAACAACTCTACCTTGAAAACACAAACAAGAGGTCTGTTTTACCTTTTTCTGGTGGTTTAGACAAATTTAGGTCACAGCACAGTGGACTGCTCCGGTGCTTTTAGCCAACTACCTTTGGCAGTCAAAACACTGATTAACATTAAAGACTGAACCAGGGTGGAAACACAAGTGGGTTGGGATTAACTTTGGAACTCTAGCTATGAGCCAGAGTTTGGCTTTTACAAGACCCTGCATTCCCGTACTGAGACTTTATGATTACATAGTGAACTGGAAGGTATTGTCACGCTAATATTTGTTAGAAAAATCAGTGTTTCAATTAGTCAATAAACTTATGCACTAATTTTTATGCACAACCACTGAAAGTTAATAATTAAAGCAGGACATCAGATCTGTTCTTGTAGTCCTCAGAAACTCCTGACCTATGGACTTAATCAAGTACTGCTTTTAAAGGACTGAAGCAACCCGATGTTTACTCATCTATCAGTTCATTTAACTCTGAAAGAGCCCAAAACAACCTACAAATACTGGAAGAAATGATCAGCATTGTAACTCCAACCCAAATCTCTGGTTATATTGGACTTACAGTATCTCACAAAAGTGAGTACACCCCTCGCATTTCATCAAACATGTTAGTATATCTTCTCAAGGGACAATACTATAGAAATGAAACTTGGATAGATTTTAGAGTAGTCAATGTGCTGCTTGTATAGCAGTATATATTTACTGTCCTCTGAAAAAATTGCGGGCTTTCTTGTGAGCCAGCTTCAGAAGAGGCTTTCTTCTGGGACGACGGCCATGCAAACCGACTTGTTGCAGTGTGCGGCGTATGGTCTGAGCACTGACAAGCTGACCTTCCGCTTCTGCAACATCTAAAGCAATGCTGGCAGGACTCATGCGTCTGTTTTTTGAAGCCAGCTTCTGCACCTGATGCACAGCACGAGGACTCAACTTCTTTGATTGACCCTTGCGAGGCCTGTTCCAAGTGGAACCCGTCTTGGAAAACCTCTGTATGACCCTGGCCTGTACTGTAACTCAGTTTCAGGGTGTGACCAATCTTCTTATAGCCTAGGTCAACTTTGTGGAGAGCAACAATTCTATTTCTCAAATCCTTAGAGAGTTCTTTGCCATGAGGTGCCATGTTGAACATCCAGTGGTCAGTATGAGAGAATTGTACTCAAAGCACAAATTTTAACTGCTTTGATACAAGATACACAAATTTGTAGGTCCTGTCAAGCAGACAAAAACATGAACATGATGAATAGGACATGTGGCTTTGCGTGGTTAAACGACGTACAGCTATTATCACTAAGGGTGTACTCACTTTTGTTGCCAGCTATTTTGACAATAATGGCTGTATGTTGAGTTATTTTCAGAGGACAGTAAATACTACTATACAAGCAGCACATTGACTACTCTAAAATATATCCAAATATATGTGAGGGGTGTACTCACTTTCGTGAGATACTGTATATGCAACCAGCCTGTGTGCAATGTAGTTTTGCTAGCAAATGGGGCCTGGGACTGACCCATGGTGTTTATTGTGTTTGCAGTGGCTGGAAATGTGCTGACCATAGAATAAACTCTGGTGCACGTGCACAAGTGTAGCCTCCCTCACAGTTCTCTACATGTGATGCAACCACCTGCTCTGTCCAACTAACCAGTGAGATAGCAAAGTCTGAGTGAGAACCATTTTTTACAGCCTATGGTGAGAACATGTCAAATAAAATTCTGACAGGTGGCCAAAACTGATATATTTGTATATACATTTATACCATGTTACATTATTTCTTCAGATATACAAGGCATATCAAGTTTTTTTCCCAACTTTTTTTTAGACATAAAAAAAGACTAATAATAGTAAATATACACATTCAAAATGATTAAATTGTAATGCTACCATACAAAAGTATGGGGTCAGTAAGATTTTTTAAATACATTTTACACAAGATTTTCTATTTAAAAAAAATGCCGTTTTTTAAAACTTTCTTAGAATCCTGAAAAAATATGATATTAACAGCACAACTGTTTTTAACATTGACAATAATAAGAAATGTTTCTTGAGCAGCAAATCAACACATTGGAATGATTTCTGAAGGATCATGTGACACTGAAGACTGGAGTAATGATGCTGAAAATTCAGCTGTGCCATCACAGGAATAAATGGGATTTTAAAATATATTCATTTTGAATTGTAATAACATTTAACAATATCAGTGTTTTTATTCTATTTCTGATCAAATAAATGCAGCCTTGGTGAGAATTGTAGCATTAGAATTCTTTGAAAAACATAAAAAAAATCTTTTGAACAGCAGTGTATTAATCCCCTAGTTCACGCGCGCGCGCACACACACACACACAATTATAAAAAAGTTAATCTAGATGTTTATGAAAAAGAAGTATATGAAACCTTTACTATTCTGCTAAAAAGTGCATACTGTGCCAATTTAATAATATAAAAAATTAAGTAATTCTGCCCATTTTGCCCGTTTGACACTCAAGACTGCCAAGTTATTTATAAATTTACCAGTTTGGCATTGTGTACTGCATGTCACCCCTTACAGTGTTTTATTTCACATCACAAGCATTACTGAGTCGTTTAAGCAAGTAATTTTTGCTTAGATTACAAATACTTATGTCAGAAATTGTCACACGTATGTTTTTGGGGCAGACAGCCACTATACTGAGTAATGAATAACAAACATACTATTCAAACAAACATCAGATTCCATTTGCAACAACATGCTAATGCAACTTTTCTGTGTATATCCAGAAAGATTTAGCCTAACCTTTGGACATTATTTTTTCAAATAAAATGCTGTATTTATTTGTCTTTTGTTGGCAGAGTCTGTCATTAGAAAGAATTATGCATTGTACAGCATCAACTAATACAGCAGCAATAACTCGTCTCACTGATCCTGTTTCAATCCTACCACATGGTTTTCTGATACATGGCCTATTTCCCCTTTTTAACTCTCTTATCTAACCATCTTCCTAGAGTTGGGTTGTTCTACATAAAGCCTCTCATTTTGGCATCAGCATCTTAATTCTGTGTTTCCGGCAGATGTGTGCTTAATGTGTTAGCAAACTGCTAGTCACTTACCCACTAGAGCTCAATATGTTCATATTGTTATGACACTCCAGTTCTGCATGTGTATGACGTTCACAGTCTAGGAAAAAGCATTTAATAACACAAGATTAATTATTTTGTCTAATTCTTTTTCTTTTATGAACCTTCATCTTTTGATCCATATGTTGTCATTTGCCAGACAACACACAGGCCTCTGAAACAGAACAAATGAACACTAGGTGGCGATAGTAAGCAAATAAAGACATTTTTAGAAAGATTTTGAGCACATAAACAAAATCTTGATGCACACAACCCTACTTATCAACGTTTCTGCAGGGGACTACAAGCTCCAACCAAAGTCTGGTCAAATCTTAATAACAATTTTTCCTCTATGATGATAACCTCATAATAGCAATGTTCAGGAAAAAGTTTACATGAGATAAACGAAAAGTATTAGTAGGCCTATTGCAGTAAAAGTTTCCTAAGATCGACTGTAGTGATTGGCTTCTATTCATGTGACAGCTCTTATCTCACACAATTTAGCTGCTGTCACTCATGTTTTAAAGCATTTCTTTGTTTTTGAGATCTTATATTATTTACCAAATGTAGCCTATCTTACTGGAGGAATCCATATCTAAGACAGGATTTAAAATAGAAAATGCTTTACTTAAACCAAATCGAACAATATTTTTTTTTTTTTTTTTCATATCCAAGTTAATTACTTTTTGCTATACACTCTTAAAAATTGCCATCTAGATTCCATGATGAACCTTTAACATTCATGGAACACTTCATTTCACCAAAGGTTCTTTATAGTAGTAAAAGATTCTTTAGGTTTTTAAAATGTTCTTAGTTTTAGAAATGTTCACTGAAAGGTCCTTTGGGGAATCAAAAATGGTTCTTCTGTGGCATTGCTGCAAAAATCCCCTTTTGGAACCTTTTTTTAAGAGTGTGTGAAGTCATTTGTACCCTTCCTGTGTGGGTGTGTAGTTGCTTACCTTGTCACTGAAGCTCTTGATTTGCTCCTGAGATGTGTACGGTGTTTCCCTGCCTCATGTGTTCATGTAGGACAACAGTGGCTCAACAGGGCCTCCGGGCTGCTGTACGCACGCACGCACGCACGCACGCACGCACACACACACACACACTAAGAGTCACTAAGCCCTACAGTCAGCACTAGCCCAGTCCTCGTATTGTACAGGGGTGAAAAAGGGACCAGAAACAACTTTTTGTTTCAATTGTATGCTTGGAATGACTGAGGGTCACTGGCATTCCATCAATGTGCTTTTGTGTGTTCTGACTTTCTTTCGGAATATTTTTCTGAATCTAGCCGATTAAATACTATATTGTTGGCTCTGTGACGAATTGCTTTCTATGTTTTGTAAGTCACTTTGGATAAAACATGTAAATATTTTGGACAATATACTATTTTAATTATTGTGAGTACAGTTTTACAACAATGAGGATTTTATGCCACCACTTGATTCAGTGACTTTTTTCAAAAAAGAGATACACATAATAGATACATTTATTTAATAATTAAATAATAATGGAGAGGATACACTAGCGTTAAAATGTTTGGGGTCTGTATATGTATATATAAAATGCAATGTATTGCTGAGATGTCAAAGCTGTATTTTCAGCATAATTACTTCAGTCTTCAGTGTCACATGATCCTTCAGAAATCATTATAATATGCTGATTTGCTGCTCAAGAATAATTTCTTATAATTATCAATGTTAACAACAGTTGTGCTGCTTTCTATTTTTGTAGAAACAGTGATAGTACGTTTTTAAGGATTCTTTGATGGATATAAAGTTTACAAGAACAGCATTTATTTGAAATAGAAATCTTTTGGAACACAGTCTTTACTGTCACTTTTGATAAATTGAATACATCCGTGGTGAATAAAAGTATTGTTTTCTGTAAATGTTTGAATACAATGTATTATAAAGTATTACAAAGAAAGCTTTATATAGAGACTATAAAGGTTGGAAGTCCCCATGTTAGAGGAAAGTATCAGTGTCTGAACTCACCATGAACGAAACAAAACTCCACTTAACGGCATTCATGCCATGCATGTGCTAAAACTAAAATCAGATTCTCCCTCTATTTCATTACCTCTTTATTGCACTTACTTAATTTAAATCAAATTACAATATTGACACACAGTATTTCTGTGAGTGCGTGTTTTTATTTTGGCTTTGCAGAGAGAGTTTTGAGGGCCAGGCTCTTTGGACTCAGGTGTTAATTGTGTTAATCCACAGGCTCTGATGTTAATCATATCTTTCCATCTCTTTCTTCTTGGTTTCTCTACCCTGCTTCAAATACACAACCTCGTAGTCATCTCAGTTCAACCCCTCTCTCTTAAATTTGAAGTGAGGTCTGGGTGGAAAACCTTTTTCACATGCTGCTGCTGCTGCTGCTGCTGTCTGTGCCCCTGGGCTACTACACCGTTAGCCCACAACATATGTGTTAGATTGAGCAGAGTTCTCCTGCCCTGGTCACAATCTTTTGTCTTTACCTCAGCGCTCGCTTTCTCAATCTCTCCTTCCATCTCTCTCTAGGTCTAGTGGTTGAGTTCAGTTTGAAGAGTTAATGTTTTTTTTCTTCTCTGTTCTTTCGTTTCACATCTTTGTGAATCAAAACAGCGCCTACTGCTCGTCACAATACAGCCTCCGGATCAAAAACACCCTCCTCTGTCTGTCAAACACAGTTTGAGTTCATCACACATGGATCCTCACCACACATTATTGAATGTATGACTGTGTTTATGCATGTATGAAAGAGAGAGACAGGGGTCAAATGGTCAGAAGCTCTTTTTCAGAACTTAAATCTGTAAAAAAAAAAAAAACGGACACAATGCAATGCGTAATTCAAAATACAGGTAAAACACATGTGGAAAATCAATACAAAAAATCCCTCATATTAACACGGTACATTGGATAACCGTATCGGATAATCGTAATCATAATTTTACTTATCGAGTGCATATTTCAATCCCTGAATTAAAGGAGAACTCCGGTCAATTTTAACATTGAGCTAATTTTTTTGTACATTTGGAGTGCAGTCAGTACAGACAAAAACGACAAAAATCGGTGTTGCCTACACCGTGTTATCCTCTTTTTAAAATTCGCACCCTGTTGACTTCAATGGGGCAAGTTCTAAACCTGCTTTTAGCCTCTTAACAACCTTAATGTGTCATTACAAGTGCACAGCCATGTGAGTGGTGTTATTAAGTGTGACCACGGTCAATCTGACTGCAGTAGATGAGCAAGATATTAATAAAAATGATGTTAATTCAGCCAGCTCACATACCCGTATTTACTTCCTGTTCTCTTACGAGAGTATCTCTCGTACTGCGTAATAGCTTACGCTATGGGAAAAACTCTTTTCCGCGAGATATTGAAGCCAAAAATTATCCTTAATTTTTTATTAATGTAAAACGCTTTGCAGCAGCAAGCAGACATAGGCGAAACAGCTCGCGCGCCTATTGGTTGCTCTGCAGCAAATGCAGCAGCCTATCGAGAGAGACTCTGCGTGACGTAATGACCAATGGGGGCAATTCGCGCCCATATCGTCACGTCCCGCCAGAAGGGGCGTGGTCTCACCCTATAAATATGCTCGTTAGGCTGATACAAGCTGATTTTTACCTCTTCAGCGAAGCACACGCATCGCTGGATCCGGAGTGAGAAGCCGCGCCGTCGAAGCAAGCCTTTCAGCGGGACGAGCTCTGGAGTCGCTGGCCTCGCCGCCTTCAACTGCCGTACCTGCTGCGCTTTCCGGCGTTCTATATCCTTTCATACTCTGTGTGTATTTACTCTGTTGAGAGTGTTTGCTCGCTTACTTGACGCGACTCACACTTCTCTCACAAAAAGAGCTGCGTCTTTTTAAAGATGCCTTCCTGTGGCTCGTGCCGCGCCCCGCTCAGCGATGGAGACCGGCACGTCATCTGTGTTTCCTGCCTGGGTGAGGATCACGCGGCTCTCGCGCTCGCTGACGGCGGATGCCCTCATTGCGAGTTTTTGCCCATGGTGACTCTGAGGACTCGCCTGGCATCATTCTCCGAGCCTTCACCGCAGCCCGCCGTGGTGCCGCGCCGCAAGAAGCGCCGCGCCCAGCGCGCTCCCGAGCTTTCTCCAGCCCGCCAAAGCTCGCCGGTTCGCCCGCCAGCTTCGCCGGCTTCGCTCGAGTCGCTCACTGACGGACAACGGCTGCCGCCTGCCGCCGCGTCCATCCACGAGTTTGACGAACCCACCGAGGCGTGTTCTCTTCTGGCATCCGATAGTGAGGATTGGGCGAGCTCCGTGGATCTCCCCTCCGCTAGCGTTTCCCGCCAGACCACTGGTAAGAGAGCCGGCATTGAGACTGAGCTGATGTGTCTGCTCTCTCAGGCCGTGGAAAGCATCGGCCTCGATTGGGAGGCGCCCGCGCAACCGCCGCGCAACAGGCGAGCTCTGTGGACCTCCGCCTTCTGTCCGCGAGTCGTCAAGGAAACGGGCCAGCACCAAGACCGCGAGCCCTAAAAACCGCGGCTAGCTTTCTTTACGTTATAAGAAATCTACCCCGCCCCCCATGGGCGTGCGTCACCGGCAAATGAGAAAAGAGTGTGTTTTAGTCCCCGCCGAGGCCGGACTAATCTCCATTTCTCAAACATTTCTCAGCTCCTAGTTTGAGCGGCTGAAAATGTCATTATTGCAGCAATGAGCCTGTTGTATAACACGCACACCTGCATACAAACGCCGACACACACAAAACTGTGATGAGGCTCTCTTATCTGCTTGCAGTGTAGTTCTCCCTGTGGCCCAGTGGCGGAACCTGAAGCTTTCACGCGAGAGACCCGTGTTCGATCCCGGCTCTCGCAGCAGATAAAAATTTAGTCTCGCCGCGGCCAGACTTCCACCGAAATTTTTCGCTCGTTCAGTTCCAGAAAATGCGACTGTTCCAGTGTATTTTGCAGTAAACAAGCTGGTACCACGGCCCGCTTGCCTGCACATAAAGGCCGTTTCCATGGCGACCCAGAAAAATCATTGTATTTCTGGTTTTCCGGCCACAGCCGATGGTGTTATAAGTGTAATAAAATGCTCACAGCCCAGTGTTCATTTCTACACACAAACACAGCCCGCCATGGTACAGGGCTCGCACAAATGAAATCGACGCATGTCAATTGTGCATTAAATGTAGTGAATGTGCCCACAACCCAGTGCCCACAAACACTACCATGGTTTCTGTAAAACGAAACCAACACAAGTCTTCCTAGCCTCCTAGGAAATCGACGGTGTTTCAGTCTCGCCGTGGCCAGACTTCCACTGAAATTTTCGCTCGTTCAGTTCCAGAAAATGTGACTGTTCCAGTGTATTTTGCAGTAAGCAAGCCAGTACCATGCCTGCTTGCCTGCACACAAATGCTGTTCCCACGGCGACCCAGATAAATCACATAAATGGTGTATTTTCTGGTATTCCGGCCACAGCCGATGGTGTTATGAGTGTATTGAAAATGCCTACAACCCAGGGCTCATTTCTACACACAAACACAGCCCGCAATAATGCAGGGCTCGCACAAACAATCCGGCCACGGCCAATGGTGTTATGAGTGTTGTAAGAATGCCCACCCAGTGCCCATTCCCACACCCAGACACAGCCCGACACGGTGCAGGGCTAGCACAAATAAAATCGACTCAGGTCGATTGTGCAAACAATGTAGTAAACGCGCCCATGTCACCATGCCTGCTCACACTACATGCTGCGTGTCCCTTGGTTTCTGTAAAAACGAAACCAACACACATTCAGTCGGCCATGACCGACAATGTTTTCAGTGTAATAAATGTGCCCGCAGCCCCGCGCCCACATTTTCTCACAGACACGCCGATTCCTACGGGATCTCCCCCGCTCGCTTTTTCTGCACAATCTGCCATAAAAAAGCTGAGCGCGGCCAGGCCGCCCGCTGTGATCAGCGCGCCCCCCGCCTCGAACGCTGTAAACACGGTGTTGTGTTCCCAGTATGCCCGGGCTCTCGAGCTGCCGTTTTGTCGCGGCCGGAGCCCGGATTTC